AAAGAGAAGAGGAGCTAACAGAGAGCTGGGAAAGTTCTTATCCAATTTATCTCCCTTCTGTATATGGCTGTTCTAGAAGTAGTCTGGAGACACAAGCGTAGTACCTGAATAAAATACCATTTTCTTTATCCTGTCGATGATCTCAGTTTAAACAGTAAATACAGGGACAGATGCACAGCCCAAATCTTGTTCAGATTCTGACATTGTAAATGGCTAAGAATATCTCCAGGTTGGTAGGAATTATGTTCTACAGTATACCGGCATTAGGAAAACCGGTGGACTATCAGTAATTGTTTCTACATAGCAAGTCTGTATAATTAAAAATATACTAAATCTAAAGTTATACAGAAGGCACATTGTTATGCAACTCTCTTTTTAAGGCAATATACTAACTCATCTTGAGATTAAAGGTGAAAATATACTTTTATAAAATTTTGAAACTAATTTTTCTTGGAGATCAATTCTCTTCTATTTTAAAATAAATCTTTCTTTTACCTAGGTAGTATATATGAATAGAGATCAAGCACGGAAATCACAGGATTGGCATGTAACCTTACCTATGCTACTGTACACATAATTCTGCAATGGCTCCTTTTAGTAAGCAGAACAATGAAATAACAGTTTGGAAAGAGTGTAAGAAAAATACATAAAAAGTAAAACTACATGGACATGTTCTTATGCAATGCTCAGAAGCTATTTATCCAACGAGGAAGTTAGATTTACTCTTGAGTTTGTGGTTTCATGAGATTTCCAGAGTAGATTATTCACAAAAGACATATTCATTCTGCAGGAAATGTACCATGTTCAATATTATTAGCTGTTAAAGAAATAAAGACTAAAGAACCATTAAGATAAGTCTTCAAAGGCTGTTCTGACTTTCTAAATTCCTTTATCATAAGAAATCACTGAGTATATAAATATAACAGGTGGAGGGAGGCATTAAATTTATAGTAGATTTCATATCAGAAGTATTTTATTTCTCAAGTTATAGGCTGATGTTAATCATATCTGTGATACATTTTTGTGTCTGAATTAATAGTGTATTTTTAATCATATAAACTAAAATGGTTCTTGATGCTATAGGAAAATAACTACATATTCTAATCCTAGAAAGGAACTTTACCTTTTAAACTCTACTTTAAAGAGAAAAATAAGAAAAAAAATAATTTCCAAAAAAGTTATCAAAAACAATGTGGTATATTTTACAATTAACATTTATTTGAGCTACAATTACTAAGTAAACACTTAAATGCACTTTCCTATTGAATTTCATCATAAAATTATATCAGATGTTAAAAATCTTAATTATGAATTCAAGTGTTCACAATGATGATGACAGATCCAATACTGGTTCTAGTCTACTAGCCACACACAATGTATTCTCAAAAAATTCTTTATATATTTACTATTATATCATGTTAATAAAATTAGTATAGAGTGCTCAAAATTAAATAACTCACATTATACCATGTTAATTAAGTCAAAGGGCTATACATCTTATCTTAGCCTTATAATTACTATTTAAAGAGCCCTATTTAATTTTCAGCTTTTTCTCCCCTATGCATTTCCAAAGTGGCTACTGTAAATACACCACTACTGTCTTGATTGTGTGTTTTTCTTAGGCCTTTCCCTCTAGTCAAAACCAAATTCTACTTTTAAAATTTTGGGGGATTTAAAATCTTGCATGGTCAAGCCTCTACCTCAAATTCCAATGCAGCTGCACTTCCTTTCCCTGTCCGAGTCGAGCATCTCGACTAGATACTTGCCAGTCACTGCCTTCAGTTCCTCTTTTGTATTCCACTCTGCAACCTAGTGTTTGTCCTAGTCAATTCCCTGAAATCCTCAGCAACCTTCATATTACTAAGTCTAGAATCTACTCTATCCTCATCTAACTGACTTCTCAGGAGTGTTCCACTCACTGAACCACCCCAACCATTTCCTTTGGCCTCTATGACTGTACCAGTCTATGTTGGGTTTTGTTTGTTTGTTTTGTTTTTTCTTGTGTCTCTGGATAGTGCTTTTGAGGCCTACCCTTTTCTAGCATTTGTATATCCATCTTTGGAAGTGTAAGAGTTCCTCAAGGATTGGTCCCCTGTCGTGTAAAATAGTATAGTATTTCTCTGGACAACTTCAACATACATAGCATTAACTACGAATCATGTACAGACAAATCCCAAATGTTCAGACCTCTCCTTGATCTTCACTGTTGAGAATTCAAAGCACCTAAAGTCAATTCATTGAGGGTTGTGATGAAACTCAGCAGAAAAGCACTTGCGCAGCATATACAAATCCCTGGATCTAATGTCTAGCACTGAGGGGTTGGAAAGAATTAAAAGCTAGTTTGCACAAGTTTGCCAAATTATTGAAAAAATTTTAAAGTTTGGTTTTGCTCTGGAGGAAAATAGCTATAACTGCTCTCGTCTAAATTATCATATATTTTTATGAGAAATTGAAGCAAATATTAGCCAATTTATTTGGTGCATTAATTTTTAGTTATCTTTCAGTGAGCTGAAACTACATAAATCCAACTTTTACATATTTGATACATCTCAAATACATCAGTCAAAAATTCAGTGACTTTTTTTTTCCTTCTCAATCTCATTCTTACCATCCAGCCATCCAGTTAATCTAGCCCAAACCCCTTCGTTCTAGAGAATCTTTCAATACCATTTTTGGAGAGTTTGAAAGCCTGAACTACCACTAGCAAGTTGTGACAATGTAAAAAGAGAATGCCCAAGGTCAGAAGAAAGTAGTCTTCCCTTTCCTAACCACCTGTTATCTGTGAAGTGGATTTTCTTTATACACTTCATTGAAAAGAACATATAAAAGTGTATACAAGAATCTTGCTACTTTTTTTTAAAAGTGTTTTTTTTGAGACAGGGTTTCTCTGTGTAGTTTTGGTGCTAGTCCTGGATCTCCCTTTACCAGTTTGGCCTCGAACTCACAGAGCTCCGCCTGGCTCTGCCTCCTGAATGCTGGGATTAAAGGCGTTGTGCCACCACCCAGCAAGAATCTTGCTGCTTTTTTATTAAGTCAGTAATAAAGCATTTCCAAAAACTGTGCAGCTGCCCAAATGTTTGAAAACTACTCCTTTAACATATGGAAAAGTGGGATGGAATTAGCCCATCTTTATAATTCAGGAGCTTACCCAAATGCAGAAGACAGAAAAGTAGAATTCTTGAGCAAGGCTAACTTCAATGCCAGTCCTCTAAATTACTTTACTCATTTTGGATACAAGAAATAAAAGGTAGAACATTAATCTCTTATAAGAATATCTAAAGGAAGGTGGTGTTGAAGTTCAATATACAAGGAAGTGACTCAAAATTTCTGCAATTTTAGACATAATAAAGGTTTTTAAGAAATATCAGTCTGCAAACATTGCATAAAACAATGAATTCTGAGTTGTCACATTGCTTTTGTTATGTATTCTAAAATATGTATACTATCCCATATTTTTACAAACTAGAGATTCTTGTCTTCAAAGTTCATTTTTATTGTCATCTATTTAACCTGACCAGAACTGCTTAGTATCCATTACTTTTACCACCATCTTTGGAAGTCTTTGACAATTATCACAATACTATTAATATATTTTAAATTATTATGAAAGTAAAATTATAAAGGTAATTTAAAATCTTTACTTACATTTGGGCTCATCTGTTGTAACAGCCAAAATAAAATCATATGGAGTCATGAATAACTGTCCTTCACATTCTATAGATGCAAATAAACGAAATCGTCTCTCTCGAGATGTAGCATAGAGGTCCAAATCTTCAGTAACAGCTCTGCCAGTAGCAACCTATGGTCAAGAGAGCAGGAAAGTATTAACTTGGAGGAACACCACCACCTTGAAGAAGATGGATGCTTTTAAACTATTAAAAGTCAATTGCTCAAGTAAATGTAAAAGAGTGAAAACTTTCTTTCTTATAACCTCAATCCCTTCATAAAACCTCAATCTCTTCATAAGGAAAATGTTTACAGTAATAAAATGAATTGATGTTTGAAGGATCCTACCACAGTGTTACTAAGGGATTGAGGAGTTTTAAACTGCCATTCATCAGGTTTAGTTGGAGAGAACATTACACATCCAGTGGCATTGGGACACCAGCCCTTGCTGAGTGCTTAGTGTGTGCTCCATGATCATGTCTATGTCTTTTCTAGGGAGAAACCAATGCCTTTAGGGTTGTTGCTTATGGCTGTGACGATCACTACAGAAGCCTTGGGACAGTGATGCTTGAGGGTTATAGCTGAGATCATAATCTAGAACAAAGTACAGTTCTAGTAGAATACAGCATCAATGGTATTTCTGAATTTTGCATAGAGTCAAAATGAATAGGATTAGCAGGTACTTGTACATAGGCATTTGGAGAGTCCTCTACTTCCCTCACGGTCTTTCTTTGTAGACAGAAACACAAGGCTTGAAAATATTTAACAGTATCTACAAATGATACTTTAGGATAAATTTCTACAACTGGCTGGTCAAACTGTCTCTTAGATATGGCAAGTTGACTTCAAGAAATTTATTTATGTGATCATAAATTAAGTTTTCACATGTTAAAAACATATTTATATTAGAAATAAATCTTACTTAGAATGAGATTATCTGTCTTTACTTTTTGTTCATGAAATTATTTTTATATATTTTTTTATTTTATAATTAACTTGATTTTATATATCAGCCACAGATTCCCTCGTCCTCCCTCCTCCCACTCCCCAGCCCTCCCCCCCAACCCACCCTCCATTCCCACCTCCTCCAAGGCAAGGTCTCTCCTGGGGAGTCAGCCCAGCTTGGTAGACTCAGCCGAGGCAGGTCCAGTCCCCTCCTCCCTACACCAAGGCTGAGCAAAGTATCCCAGCATAGGCTCCAGGCTCCAAAAAGCCATCCCATGCACCAAGGGCAGGTCCCTGCTCCACTGCCTGGGGGCCTCCCAAACAGTTCAAGCTAATCAACTGTCCCACTTATCCAGAGGGCCAGGTCCAGTTCCATGGGGGCTCCTCAGCCATTGGTTCACAGTTCTTGCGTTTCCACTAGTTTGGTAATTTGTCCCTGTGCTTTTTCCAATCATGGTCTCAATATCTCTCACTCATGAACAATCCCCCCCATCTCTCTTGCTGATTGGGCTCCAGGAGCTCCACCTGGGGCTCGGCTGTGGATCTCTGCATCCGATTCCATCAGACACTGGATGAGAGTTCTATCATGACAGCCAGGGTGTTCGGCCACCCAGTCACCAGGGCAGAGAAGCTCAGGTTTTCTCTAGACCATTGCCAGTAGTCTACAGTGGATGTATCTTTGTGGATTTCTGCGGACCTCTCTAGCACTCTACTTTTTCCTATTCCCCTGGGGTCTTCATTCATCATGTTATCTCCCTCCCCGTTCTACCACTCTGCTCCTGATCCAGCTGGTACCTCCTCCTCCCCTAAGCTCTCATGTTTTGCTCATGTAGATCTCATCCATTTCTCTGTCATTGAGCCATCCCTGTGTCTTTCTCAGGGTCGTCTTTACTAGGTAGCCTCCCTGGAGTTGTGAGTTGCAGTCTGGTTATCCTTTGCTTTACATCTAGTATCCACTTATGAGTGAGTACATACCATGTTTGTCTCTCTGAGTCTGGGTTACCTCACTCAGGATGATTTTTTTCTAGTTCCATCCATTTGCCTGCAAACCTCATGATGTCATTGTTTTTCTCTGCTGAGTAGTACTCCATTGTGTATATGTACCACATTTTCTTTATCCATTCTTCAGTTGAAGGGCATCTAGGTTGTTTCCAGGCTCTGGCTATTACAAACAATGCTGATATGAACATAGTTGAGCATGTGTCCTTGGAGTATGATTGAGCATTCCTTGGGTATATACCCAAGGGTGGTATAGCTGTGTCTTGAGGGAGATTGATTCCCAATTTTCTAAGAAAGTACCATATTGATTTCCAAAGTAGCTATACAAGTCTGCATTCCCACCAACAGTGGAGGAGTGTTCCCCTTGCTCCACATCCTCTCCAACATAAGCTGTCTTCAGCGTTTTTGATCTTAGCCATTCTGATGGGTCTAAGATGGTATCTCAGAGTCATTTTGATTTGCATTTCTCTGATGACTAAGGATGTTGAGCAATTCCTTAAATGTATTTCAGCCATTTGAGCTTCCCCTGTTGAAAATTCTCTCTTCAGTTCTATAGCCCATTTTTTAATTGAACTGTTGGGTATTTTGAGTGCTTTTGGTAAGATTGCCATTTTTACTATGTTAATCCTACCTATCCATGAGCATGGGGGATGTCTGACAACTTCTTCAATTTCTTTCTTCAGGGACTTAAAGTTTTTGTAATACAGGTCCTTCGCTTGTTTAGACAAATCCTTATCCAAACTAATCAAAAGGCAGAGAGAGAGAGCATCCAAATTAACAAAATCAGAAATGAAAAGGCAGATGTAACAACAGACACTGAGGAAATTCAGAGAATCATCAGGTTATACTTTGAAAACCTGTATTGCACAAAATTGGAAAATGTAAAAGAAATGGACAATTTTCTGGATAGGTACCACAACCCAAATTAAATCAAGACAAGATTATAAACAATTTAAATAGACCTATAACCCCTAAGGAAATAAAAGCAGTCATAAAAAGTCTCCCAACCAAAAAAAAAAAAAAAAAAAAGTCCAGGGCCAGATGGTTTCAGCACAGAATTCTACCAGAATTTCAAAGAGCTAATACCAATACTCCTCAAATTGTTCCACACAATAGAAACAGAAGGAACATTGCCAAATTCTTTTAGTGAGGCTACAATTACCCTGATACCCATACCACACATAGACACAACTAAGAAAGAGAATTACAGACCAATCTCCTTCATGAACATTGATACAAAAATACTCAATAAAATACTGGCAAACTGAATCCAAGAACACATCAGAAAAATCATCCATGATCAAGTAGGCTTCATCCCAGAGATGCAGGGATGGTTCAACATATGAAAATCTGTAAATGTAATCCACCATATAAACAAGTTGAAAGCAAAAAACCACATGATCATCTCTTTAGATGCTGAAAAAGCCTTAGACAAAATCCAACACCCCTTAATGATAAAGGTCTTGGAGAGACCAAGGATACAAGGAACATACCTAAACATAATAAAGGCAATACACAGCAAGCCAACAGCCAACATTAAACTAAAAGAAGAGAAATTCAAAGTGATTCTACTAAAATCAGGAATAAGACAAGGCTGTTCACTCTCTCCATATCTATTCAATATCGTACTTGAAGTTCTAGCTGGAGCAGTAAGACAACAAAAGGAGATCAAGGGGATACAAATTGGAAAGGAAGAAGTCCAATTTTCACCATTTGTAGATGATAGGATAGTACACATGTGACCCCCAAAATTCTACCAGAGAACTCCTACAGCTGATAAATACCTTCAGTAATGTAGCAGGATACAAGATTAACTCAAAACAATCAGTAGCCCTCCTATATACAAATGATAAACAGACTGAAAAAGAAATCAGAGAAACATCACCCTTTACAACAGCCACAAACAACATAAAATATATTGGAATAACTCTAACCATAAGTGAAAGACTTGTATGACAAGAACTTTAAGTCTTTAAGGAAAGAAACTGAAGAAGATATCAGATAATGGAAAGATCTCCCATGATCTTGGATAGGTAGGATCAACATAGTAAAAATGTCAATCTTACAAAAAGCAATCTACAGATTCAATATAATCTCCATCAAAATTCCAACACAATTCTTCATTGACCTTGAAAGAACAATACTCAATTTCATAGGGAAAAACAAAAAACCCAGGATAGCTAAAAAAATCCTGTACAATAAAGGAACTTCTGGAGGTTTGTGGAGACTGACAAAGGTTTTTTTTTTTGTTTTGTTTTGTTTTTTTTTTTGTTTTTTGGTTTTTGGTTTTTCGAGACAGGGTTTCTCTGTGTAGCTTTGCGCCTTTTCCTGGAACTCACTTGGTAGCCCAGGCTGGCCTCGAACTCACAGAGATCCGCCTGCCTCTGTCTCCCGAGTGCTGGGATTAAAGGCGTGCGCCACCACTGCCCGGCCACAAAGGTTTTATAGTGAGATCTGAGCTTGCTTTACCCAGCAGGGCTGCATTAGAGGATTGCTTGATAATGATTGTAGTTACTAGGTGATTGGAAAGGTCTGTACTTGGCTGTGCTAGGGGGAGGTCTTTTGCTCTACCCATTAGTGTGCCTATAAAAAGCCCTTTAGAAGATACTGGAGAGGCCAGTGGATTATGCTTCAGGCCCTCCTGAGGCTATCCTGTGTTTTTATCTGTCTCTCTCCCCTCTATCTTTCTATCTAAATATTTCTCCCTCCTCCCTCCTCAAGAGTACCCTGGGGAAAAAGTAGGAGGGGGACTCCCACAGAAAAATGGATAGCTCCCCCCATAGATGGTGCCAAGAATAGGCACCAGGGACTTAGTGAAAGGAGGGTTGGGGGCCCCATAGGAAGCAGTTTGGCATGTTTAGTTTTGTAGTGTAATGAAGATGGGGTATTCTATTTTCAGGAGTATAGATAAAGTAAAGTGGCTGAAAGAAATGCCAAAGTGGAAAGTTAGGCTGCAGCGAGTATCTCTATCTAGGTTTCTTTCTTTTTTTCTCTCTCTCTTAATTTCTATCTATAAAAACTAGGAAAAAATGTAAGGTAGGAATATAGCATAAAAAGAAACTTAAGATAAGGTAGAATATAGGAATATAATATAGAAAAAGCTTTGGGTAAGATAGTAAAGCAACAAGACAGTGGAGCTGTGTTCTTGGGACTATGAATGCAGATTCCTGGGGGAAGAATGGAAGTCAT